GCCCAAAGTCATCATATTGACTCTCTGGTCCTTTGCAGAAATGGCTTGCTGATCCTTACGTGAGAGGGGAAAAAAGGGATAAGAAACAGAGGGACTGAGGAAGGGAGGAAGGAGGGAACAGGAAGATGAGGTGGTACTTTCACTTCTGATTGTGGGAAAATACATTTGGAGCCCCTGAAGAGAGCCTGGAGAATTAATTCCTTGTTCCCTTCCAAGAGATCGAAACAAAATGGACAGACAGAGATATCCTGTCCACTCATGGATTTCTTTTTATAATATTTTTAAAGATTTTTAGATGGACACAATATCTTTATTTTATTAATTTATTTTTTTATATGGTGCTGAGGATCAAACCAAGTGGCTCATGCATGCGAAGCAAGTGCTCAACCACTGAGCTACAACCCCAGCCCCAACTCATGGATTTCTTTATAGAATGTGTCATATTTTTAAAATCCAAATTAAAAGATAGATTGAACATTCTTTGGAATTCTACACATGCTGAGGGGGCTGACAGGAGGTCTACTTTATAGAGTAAACCTTCCCTAAAAAGGACAGTACATCTGTTTAACAGGACAGAGTAGGTATGTAAACAGATGAGATCACAAATACAGACGCTTCACTTCTGATACTGTATACTTCTATAGTCCCTAAATATTGCCATAAGCTTTTTAGTAATTTAATAGAGAAAAAAATGGGAGATGAAAAAGAAAAAAATAATGCACCATTAGAGAATTACAACCATGAATGCTGTGGACTCAAAGGTGATGGAAATCACATTAGACTATGCGACTATGCGGGAAAAGAGAAGTGGAAGAGGTGAATCAGAAAATGCTCTAGGAGGACATGACATCTGCAATCAACCTTTGAGCATCAATGACATTTGGAAGGGTGAAGAGGGCATCTTACCCTAAAGAGCCAAACAAAGGGTCTGTCTGGATGGTCTTCGGGTATATTGATTTGGGAAATGTGTTTGCAAGTGTGATGTATGGACACAGACAGACTTCACAAAATATTCAATTCTAAAGGAATTTTTATGTACCCTCGGACACTGTTGCTTATAAGAGAGATAACAAGAACAAAAGAGGAAAGAACATATTTGTTTTGCTAACATAAATGTAGGAGATACTGTACCATCTTTTTGTTTATTTGTTTTTGGAGGAAAAGGTTCATTTAGGGGCTCATGGTTTCAGACATCTCAATCCATAGAGAGCAGGCTCCATTCCTCAGGGCTTGAGGTGAGGCAGGACATCATGACATAAGAGTGTGGCAGAGGGAACCAGCTCACATTATGATCAGAAAGCAGAGAGATTCATATATATCAGATGCATATATACCCCACAGCTACACCCCCAATGAGCCACTTCCTCCAGCTACACCCCACCTGCCTCCAGTTACCACTCAGTTAATCCCATCAGGGATGAATTCACTAATTAGGTTAAGGCCATGACCCAATCATTTCTCCTCTAAACCCTCTTGCATTGTCTCACAATTTTTGGGTGACACTTAGGGTTAGGGTTTGGTTCTCTGAGAGAATCCCATCCAAACCATAACATTCCACCCCTGTCCCCCCAAAAGGTCACAACTATCTCACAATGGAAAAGACATTTAGTCCCTTTCTAAGAGTCCCCACAATCTTAGCAGTTCTGAGATTGCTCGAAGTTCACATCCGAAGTCTCCTCTGAGGCTCAAGGCAATCTCACATTGTGAGCTCCTGTAAAATTAAAAGCAATTTACAAGTAGCCAGTATATAATGGTATAGAGTAAATATTTCCATTCACAAAATTAAGGGCATAGAAAGAAGGGGTGGACCCAAAGCCAAACCAAAATCCAGCTGGGCAAATAAATCCTGTAGCTCCACGTCCGCCATCTGGGGATTCCTCAAATCCCTTCCCACCATCCCCATTCTCCCATTACACCTTTTACTCTGATCAAATGCCTTTCCCTCCTCATTAAGTTATTCAGTGAGTATTTACTGAGCATCTACTATGTGTCATGATATAAAGATTATGTAGTGAACACTAAGGAGTCACCAGTCACCAAAATGTCCACTGATGAAAAATCCCCAGTATCTCACCCAACACCTGAGGTCATGCTCTTACACACTCCTCTCTGCCCAGACATTTATTCCCCTCTCTTCTGACCAGATCCATGTCCTCTACCAGGTGGAAGCTTAGATACTGATTCCTCAGGTAGATTCTCCTTGACCACCCTGCTATGCCTCACCATATGAGTTGCTTCTTCCACATGCTCTCATAGAAATGTACTCCCTTCTCCTGGGCTTCATCACAGTCTGCCATCACTGTACTGTATCACAGAGAATCCACTGCTGAAGCAAAGGCGCAGCCAGTGGCCCAGACACTTTAAGGACCTGCAGGGAGGATACTTCTTTCGTTCACATGGCTTTGGGATCTGCCCTTTGACTAGAGTTTCCTTCAGTACCATGCAAGCCCTACTTCTGAATTGACTCACCATTTTCCCACTATTTCCCTGTATTGTCAGTCTGAGTGCCAGAGTTGGGTATCTCCTAGGACACCAGGTCCTTTGAGTTTCTTCTCCTACTGTATCTAACCAAGAATCTGCTAGCCCAGCCACTGACATGGCCCCTTGTGACCTGCCTTGTTGGTGAACATTAGACCCGGTTAAGGCACAAGATATCATTTGCTTATAGCAGCAGTCAATATGCATAATTGGTGGGGAAATAATTTAGAGATAACATGAAATGCAGGGTAGTAAATTTAAACCAGCTCCACCTGAAGTAAGAAAACATTTTTAAAAGAATTACCATCTCTGTCCCTGTCCCTGCAACACCAACATCACAAACATTATTAAGCTCATTTTAAGGATTGTCTAAAAATTTCCTCTCTGTTCATCTCAATATCAAGACAGATTGAAAATGCTCCTCTTGCTCCTCAGGCCACAAGAAAAGTATTAGAAGGAAATATATCAAAGCTCAGAGGCTGGAATTTTAAAAATGAGATTCAGATGTGTCTATAAATCTGACAGTGAGAGGCATGGAGACCCTTCAAGCTAGTGGGCAAAACATGTATGGAATTTGGTCTGTGACCTCACCTGGCCATTTGCTTCATTAAATCTGCTGCTCTGGGGCACACATGGGTCTGGGGTCAACCAGGATGTTTTCATCCCATTTACAATATGCATTGGTGTTTGTGCACCCTGGGGCTGCTGAGCCTTGTGCCTCCTGGTCAAGTGTCATGATTCAGCCAAATTCAAGAGACAGGAAACTGAGCTGGATGGATCACTGGTTTGATCTCAAGAGACAAATCCCTTGTTATGACTTCTTTCAGAGGCAGAAGATTGTTGGGGGAGATGAGGGGAGGAGACAGACAGAGAGGAGTGGAAGATGAGTGTTCAAGATTCACCCAGCCTTGCTTCCTGCTCTGACTTGCTACCTGCACGTCTGCACATCATCCTGCTCCCATTGCTACCTCTCTGTCTGCATATCTAACCAGAGAGAGTTTGAAAAAGTGCCCAGGAGTGAAGCACAGAAAGGTACCCTGAAGCAAGTAGCAGGGATTCTGGAGTAAGATAATTCTAGGTTCGGTGCCTGGGTATGCCCCTCATCAGCTAAGTGAGCATAAGCAAACAATTTAGTTTTGCTGTGCCTTGTAAAAGGGAATGACAATATCCATGTGTCCCAAGTGGAATGAATAATATAACATACATAAAGCATTTAGCACATGAATCCTTAATTAATATACATCAGATCCCTTTTTTTTTTCCTTCTCTATATTGCCTACTACAGAAGTTGTAAACTTTGAAACAAGTAAAGAAGAGGACTGGGAAATAAATTCTCTTAACAATGAGGAGCAGCAGAGAAGGATGAAAGGTGACAAAATCAAGGTTATTTAACCTGAGAACCACTAGAAGTGAAGACAGACTACAGTGAGAAAGTGGACTCACATGACACTGGCCCATTTACCTCAGAAACCAAGAATACCCTTCCACAGACTGATCAGGCAGCTGAATGACTGAGATGATTCATTTACCTAAATGCTTGACCAATTGCAGAAGTGTGTTATAGGAATTTCCTTAAGGATAATAATGTTTAACAGTTAAACCTGCCAATCTACCCACAGTTTTATCCTCTGTGAAACCAGGGAGTCCCCTTCCTGTCTTCTAGCTTGTCATATCACAAACACCATCTCTCCCACCTTCTTTCTGGAGAGCCGACTTTTTCCAAGATAGTCCCAAGGTGGGTAAGTAGAACTCACACAATTCCATAAGAACAGAAAATAGTTTGTGGCATACACACACAAATCTTCCCAAGAAACCCAGCCCAAACATATTGCCAAGAGCAGAAAAGTAAGTAAAAGTAAGACCTCATTTGGGTAACTCGTTAGTTTTACCCAACAGTGGTTGCTTAATGATATATTTTGCTGACTCGTTCATTTAACAAGTAGAAATTTATGACAGGCACTGTTCTAGGAACTGGGAACACTCCCTGTCTTCATGGAGTTTAAAATTGAGAACCCACTGTGATCCTTTCTCAGAATTAAATACATACATACATGCTTTGAAACATAAAGAAAAAAAAGCAAGTTTGTCTCAAAGGTTTGAATTCAACTCACTGTCCCGCTCTACAGTTAAATAAAAGAGTAGTGTGGGACATTATTCATGTGTTTGGGTGATGTGGGTATAAACAAACCAACTTCACCACCAATCATGTAAAAGTATAGCACATACAATTATGCCCAATACATAAAACTTGATAATGATAATAAACAACTATGTTTCTGGTTTATAGATTCACTCTACTGTAAATTTTTTAAAATTATTTTGGAGTGGACTTCTTCTCCTTATGAAACAAATAAGCTTACTGCAAACAGTATGTTGTGTTACACAGGAAGCAGACATATATTTTGCTTAAGACATCTTTTTATTTGGGCCTATTAAGTATATAAAATAAGGGGTTTCATAGTGGCATATTCATACAAGCATATAACAAACTTATAACATATAAAAAATTTATTTTGGCTCACGATTTCAGAGGTCTCAGTCCATGGGAAGCTGGCTCCATTGTTCTGGGTCTGAGGTGAGGCAGGACATCATGGTGGAAGGACATGGAGGAAGAAAGCTGCTCTCCTCATGGTATCCAGGAAAGAGAAAAGGCATGGGGATGAGAAACACCTTTCCAAGTCCCTCTCCCAGTGACCTACTTCCTCCAACTAGCCCCTGCTCCCACAGTCTCCGCCACCTCCCAATCATCCTTCAGCTGTCAGTGGATTAATACATTGATAAGGTCAAAGCCCTCACGATCCTATCACTTCCCAATTGCCCAGCCTCTGAACATTGCTGCATTGGGGACCAAGCCCTAAACACACGAATCTCTGGGGGACACTTCATATCTAAATTGTAACAATCCACCTTTCTACTTTCATGTTGTCTTTCCTCCTTCCTCTTATCCTTCTCTTTCTCCTTCCCTAGATTCTACATATGAGTGAAAACATGTGAACCTGTCTGAATCTGGGTTATTCACTTGACATGATGATCTCCAGCACCATCCATTTTCCTGCAAAGGACATGATTTCATTCTTCTTTAAGTCTGATTAATACTCCATTAGGCATATATACCACATTTCCTTTATCTATTCATCCACTGGTGGGCACCTGCACTGATTGCATAATTTGGCTATTGTGAATCATGCCATAATAATCATATTATCACGCCTCTTGATTGCTTCAAGTTATGCTGAATGCTTGACCCTTGCCATCTAGGTTTGTGTAAGTTGTCTATAATGATCACACAATAAAGATATGGCCTAACAACACATTTCTCAGAACACAATCTCCTTTGTTAAGTGATGCCTATTTGTAATTGGTTTTACATTTCTTTCCATGTTGGCTTAAATAAAACATGAGGGATTGCATACTGAATACATCTTACCTTAGCAAAAACTTACAGATTCTAGTAACACTGCTTCCTCTTCTAAATATCCACAGATCACCATTTAATGCATTCTTAGCCACATTGTATTTTTTTGGGGTGGGGGGAGGATTCTGGAGATTGAACTCAGGGGTACTCAATCACTGAGCCACATCCCCAGCCTTTTTTTTTTTTTTAATTTTATTTAGAGACAGGGTCTCACTGAGTTGTTTAGTGCCTTGCTTTTGCTGAGGCTGTCTTTGAATTCACCATCTTCATGCCTCAGCCTCCCGAGCCACTGAGATAATAGGTATGCTCCACCATGACTGGCAAAAGTTTACTTTTTTGGCTTTTTTTGTTGTTTTTTTTTTAAGTTTACTTTTTTGAATAAGTTTCTTTTTGAAAAATTAACCAAGGTGAGATGCCCTATCTTTGTCATCTGGACACTGTGTTTGGATGCATTTTCTGGAACTACAGCAGCCACATTGGGACTATGAGGAAAGTCAGCCTCAGTATAAGTCAAACAGCAAAGACTGATAGAGGGAAAAAGGCTAACCCCAGGCCCTGCAGTCAGATTTTATATGAAGTCATGACTAGTTTTTATTTCAATGTCATTTTGTTTTGTTTTGTTTGTGGTGGGAGGGACAGGTACTGGGGATTGAACTCAGGGGCACTCAGCCACTGAGTCACATCTACAGCCTTATTTTGTATTTTATTTAGGGATAGGTACTCACTGAGTTGCTTAGTGCCTCTCCATTGCTGAGGCTTAGCTTTGAACAGGTGATCCTCTTGGTTCAGCCTCCCAAACCACTGGGATTACAGGTGTGTGCTACTGTACCTGGCCACAATGTATTTTTGCAGGATCTACTTTCCAAGCTACAGGTTGAGCATCCTCAATCTAAAAATCTGAAATTCGAAATGCTCCAAAATCCAAAATGTTTTGAGCACTGGCATGATACAACAAGCAGAAAACCCACAATAAAACATGGTTTCATGCACAAAGTTGTTAAAAATATTGAACAGTTACCTTCAGACATTATCTATAAAATATACATGAAACAAATGAATTTCATGTTTAGACTTGGGTCCCATCCCCAAGATATCTCATTATGATTATTCCAAGATTCCAAAATTCAAAATCAAAAGTTTGTTTGGCTGGTCCCAAGCATTTTGGACAAGGAATACTCAATCAATATTTGGAAAGTTAAAACATCACCATTTCTAATAATCCAGAACATCTTCTTGTCTCCACAAAATATTCACATCTGTATATTTAAATATTATGGAACAATTATTTCCATTATAATGTTGTTATGATTTGGATATGCAGGGTTCCCCCAAAAGCTCCTGTGTTAATGCAGGAATATTCAGAGGTGAAAATGATTACATTAGGTGAGCTATAACCTAATCAGTCCATCTAGTCTGAATGAACTACCTGGGTGATAACAGTAGTAGGTAGGTGAGGACATGGGTCACTGGGGGTATGCCCTGGAAGGGTTCATCTTCCTTGCAGCCCTTCCACACCTCTCTTCTCTTTCTCTCTGCTGCCTGGCCACCATGAGTGAAGAGCTTCTCTCTGCCATGTCCTTCTGCCATGATGTTCTGCCTCATCTTGGGTGCACAGCAATGGAGTCAGCTGACCACGGACTAAATCTCTGAAACTGTGAACTCAGCATAAACTTTTCCTCAGCTAACATCTTCCTGTCGGGTATTTCAGTCTTAGCCATGAAAAGCAGACTCACATAAATTTTTTCTAACATCTGAGATTTATAACTTCCTCTTTACCAGTGAATATTCCTAAGAATGTAGGCACTGACATTTTACTAAGTTCTTATTTAGCGATGTTGCTGTGCTCAGATCGATACCTCATCCTCTTTACTTTCCATAACAGCTTTGTGAATAATTTCTTCACAAATGACACAGCTGAGTCTCACTGGGTAATACACCATTCAGCCAACCCATGGCAGAGCCAAAAGTTGGCCCCAGGATTGCAATGTCAGAGCTGGAACCCCGAAAGACAGCCTCCCATAACTGAGGGTCAGGAGCCACACATGATAGCTGTCTAGCTTTTGAGCTTCATGCCTCCCTTTGTACCACCATGCCCTCTTGGCAGGGGCGCAGCACTGATTTACTAGCAAAGCATTCTTCCCAACAGTGGCTTCTCATGATTGCAATGCAGTTGGCAGTTGGGTTATTTTCCTCCCTTTCCCTTTTATTTCAGTTGCACAGAAACAGGAGATTTTTCCCATGCATCACTCCATTGATTTACTGCACACAAGAAATGGAGGCAGGAAAGTGGGTCTTGAAAATCTTCTTCAACACGCTTCCCCTATACTATTTTATTTCCCATTTGAAGGAGAAAAGTAAAGAAGAGAAACTCTTCACTGATATAAAATTGTCCATCTTTAAATAGTTTATAAATGATACTGACTTCAAGAGTAAAAGCCCAAGAAGGAGGTATTTAAAAGTGATTCTCCACCTCTTGGGTACTTCACCCTGGATATACCATATTTCATCCAAAACCTACCACCTCCATAAGGAGCCAACCTGTCCAACTACTCCCCAGGATGGATTTTATCTCCTTTATGGAATATCTAATGCTATATGTCACGGAGCCAGACCCAAGTTCAGCAAAAAACACAAATAGATTTAGGGTTTCCAGGTCTGGACCATCTCCCCTCAACCCACACTTCACAGGCAGGCTTTGGACTGCAGTCATGTTTAGATTTTAATAGGTTTTTGCAAGATGTGTCAGGATTTTTCTTGGGTTTCCTTTTCAAATAAATCCTCCGGCTTTGACTCCTCTGTGTCTGAGTCGGCTCAGCTCAAAGCATATTAATTTCTGTGGGAATGTTAGAAGGAAGAGGAGGGGTGGGGGAATGTGGACTTTTCTTTCTGCCCACAGCTGTCTCTAATCTTAAGAAATCCAAATCTCCAAAGCTGATAGACCATTATTCAAATTGGTGGATCCAGAATATATTGGCTGATAACAGCATTTCAGATCTTCTAGCTGGCAGGAATAAGAACACTCTCATGATCACTAGGATTTGGTACCACTAAAATAATCTTTTAGATGAAACTATTAAATGAAAATAAACTGTAATCAAATATTTCAATGAGTTAAAACAAAAAAAGAAATTGCACTACCTCCTCTTCTTCCACGATGCTTCAGGGTTAGGAATTTGAAGTTCCCTGTCCTAAACATCTTCCTTGGTAAACTTTCAAGCAAAGTCATCTAATTCAAAGCAAACTTGGCAAAGACCTTGTAAAGTAAGTTGAGAATTAAAGTGTAAATAATTTGGAAATTTAACTGATTAAAGATGCATAATATCATCTTGCTTGACTTGCAGATGGCATTTGGTAATAGATTACACCCCCATTTCTAGAAATAAAATTTTTTCAGAAATACTAGAAACATTTTTTTCTTTCTCCAAACACCTGAGCATAAGTAACTTTCTTCAATCACCAGAGCTGACTTTGAGAACCCTGTGGGAGAAAAGAGGAAGTAGTGTTAACTAAAGGAGGTAATGGGCTCCACTATTATAAACTATAAGAAAAACAATGTAGATTTTAAAGTCCCATGAAACTGGGGAGAGACAACCCCCTCCCCCATTTTTTATATAAAAAATCTTTTTTTATACAAAAGCTGTCCTTGTATAAAAATACAAAAGTAAAAACATTCACTATCCCTAAAACAACCAAACCCCAAGATGCTGCAGAGGCATCTATAACTTAAAACAGATGCTCATTTACACAATCATGACGCATTTACTAGGAAGGGCTACAAAAAAAAAAAAAAGCATTGCTTCATTAAGGAAAGTATTATAGCAGATATATATATTATTATAATAAGACAGTAATTACTATGGTTATACATGTGCTACCAGACATGTGTAGTATATAATAAAAATATGTTTACTATTTATCTTTCAGTGACTGAGTTTACATTTATAAAGCTAGTTTAGCAGCTTTCAAATACAATTTTTTTTCTTATTTTCACTGGCACTTTATAATTTTATTCCCTTAGATGCATCCTCTATCATTTAACCAAATTTCTATGTAAAACTGTAAGACAAGGCAGGGTGAAATACTTTACTTATAGTATTTTCTTAGATTGTCCCCTAAGTACAATAAATATAAATGGCCTAGATTTTTTAAAGTAATCTAGACTCTGAACATAAAATTATTCACCCATTGCTTAATGTATTTCCTGAAAAGAAATTACAAATAGATTTATTCTGCCTTCTATCTCCCCTCACTTCCAGATAGAAAAAATAAAACAATTTTTGTTTAAAATAAAATCTTGATCTTTGCTGCATTTGTGTCTACTAAAGAGTAGAAGTCAGAAGAACACCCTGGAATGTGAACCATTGGATTTTAATCAAGTAATCTACTTTGCACTAGTTTTTCCAAATTAGAATTTTGACTTAGACCTTTTATTCATGAAACATCTTATTACCTGTCTTTATCATAATTCTGAAGCCATCACCAGAAAAGTAGTTGGAGGAGTCTGAGAGAATTTCCATTCTAAGCCAAGAGTACAACCTTGTGCTGTGTGAAGCTGCACAACCATAGAAGAAGCAGGGGACACATTCCTGTGCTTTTCATTGAGAAGAAAACTGATTCTATATGTATGCATATGTGCAGACATGCACACACACACACACACACACACACACCTCATTTTGTGTCTGGCCTTCATAAGCAACATCACACAGTGAAGTCAAGGAAATAGGGAAAGAGCAATCTGCTTTTGCTTCAACCTATTTATAAGAAAAAATACATTTAGATGACCTATTCAGAAGGTTTTAAAATTTTATTCCAAGTGGCCAATAGAAGAACTTGTGTAAGATGAAACAAATTTCCATTTTTTAAACAATTATAAGTTATTAATGTTTTCAATTATAAGATTTGTTTTGATCAAGTGTCCAAATAAATCTTCATGGAGTTTCCCCCTGTTTATCTTCGTTACAAAAAAAAGCATGTGTCCAAAAAAAGTAAAGTTTACATTACTATTGACAGTCAGAAATAAGAGGAAATGGATGGTATGCTGGGAAGCGGAGAATGAATGTCATTAGAATCAGGTTTTCTGATACAGGTGCTGGAAGTCACATAGAAATTTGGATGAGAGTTCTTAAGCCCATGCAAGTGCACATGCACACATACACACAAACACACCCTGTTTAGCAAACCTGTCTCAAGATTTCTTCTTTGCATTCTCACTCCCCAAACACTCAGGCTGGACCTAGTTATATGAATTCATCTGATTTTATCTGTTTAAAGCCTATTCATCTGCTTTGCATAAGTTCAAAAAGATTTTTCCAACACACCCACAAAATTCACAAGTCAGTTACTCCACAGTAGTTCAACAGCCCAGCACCAGGATCCACTGGCATCTTGAGAACTTTGCCCTCAGTCTTCCCCAAAGTACCCCAGCACTTCTATCAATAAACACATGAGCAAGTTCTCTCAGTGTCAGGCCAGCACCATCAGCAGTGGATTACTGGAGAGAGTCGGGGGTACACTATTGCTCACAGAGTGGTCCTGAATTTATCTCTCCCAGAGGTGACTTTTTCTATTTTCTTATGTCTCCATTACTGGGAGAAAGTACTGTGTTTAAAAGAGCCAGGCTGCACACACAAATAGACCACTCTCACAACCCAAATGACCTGTGGCAGAGTTAGCAATAAGCCAAAACATGCATGAGAGTAAAGATGTTTTCCTTCCCAGATCTCCCCTCCTGTCTGTGAAGTTGGACACACAGTTGCTGGCTCAGAAGGAAGAGGCAGCAGTTGTCCTGTGCACCTGTGTCCTAAACCTCCCACACTGGAGATGACCCTTGATGGCTCTATGGATGCAATTTCCCGTTGTTCACATTCCCTTTTCCAGGAGAACTTGAGTGTGCATGAAAACTGAAATCAAGAACCACACTCTGACTTCAGGAATGCAATGTTCTCTTTCAAAACGTTTCCACAACAAGACAATGATGACAGTTATTAATCTAAGAACATGATCCAACACTTCTCTCCAAAAGGACAAACACCATTTCCAATGCAGCAAGAATGTATTACTTAAGTAAAATGGATCTATGAAAATGCATTAATATTATACACACACATGCAAAAAATAAAGGGGTTGGGATTATATCTCAGTGGTAAAGCGTTTGCCTAGCATACGCAAGGCTGTGGGTTCAATCCTCAGCACCACAAAAATGAAGAAATAAATAAATTTAATGTTACTTTTTAATATGAAATAACTGAGTTCTTGCAAGAAGCTTACTTTCAACCACATGTATAGGAAAATTGCCAATTATAAAATATGAATTTAATTATAATAAAATTTATACTAAAATATAATTAAATTCACATTATATTAAATGAAGACTGGTATTAATTGATGCATTTCGATGTTTTTAATATTATCTAAAAGGCTCTCCAAAGGCACAATATTATTTATTAATGATTTATCTCACTATTAATCTCTACCTATAGCCTTACTAAATACAAATGCTGAAATTAAAATGACAAAATTAAGGTACTTTTATTATAATTCAAAAGATAGTTGTACCACATGGGCACAAACTCATTTTGATTATTTTTAATTAATTTTAATTGGTGCATATGATTATACATAATAAAGGGATCTATCATAACATATTCATTCATTCAAACACATGACATAATTTAATCAATTGGATTCTTTTTTGTATATAAATTTAATTTAAATTTGGACAGCTAGCCTGATTTATATATTTCCTGTTATAAAATATTGATTAATATGATATTTTAATTTGCTTATTTATTATTTATTTATTAATATGAAATTTTCCCCCTCTGCTCTACATTGATTTCATCAAATAAGGAGGAGCTGTAAAACAAATCCTTAGGTCTAACTTTGAGGAACCATGGAAGTCAGCAGGGACAACTGGGGTGGAACGTTACTAACTGCCTAAATTTAGACTAGTTGCCAAACTTCTATTACTCAGTTTCCTAATCTACAAAATAGGAGTAATGGTAGTTTCTCTTTCAGAAGATTTTTTGTGAGGAAAAAATAATTTCATAAATCAATTATGTGTAAAGTTCTTAGAACAGTTAACACAGACTTAATACTAGTTGCTTTTGTAATTTAATAAAATTTTTAACCACTTTTAGTCTTTTCCATTGGGTTACACTTCAAACTCAACAAATCTAAAAGGGCATCACTCCCCTGTGGCACACACCTGAAATCCCAGCTACTCAGTAGACTGGAGCAGGATTTCAAGTTCAAGGCCAGCTTCTACATTTAGGGAGATCCTGTATCAAAATAAATATTTTGTATTACTACAAAGTATAACACAAATATTTACATTTAACAAATTCATTAAATAAGCAAAAAAAGGGAGGGGGGCGACTGTAGATATAGCTCAGTATTATAGCACTTCTGGATTCAATACCTAGTACTGCAAAAAAATAAATAAATAAATAAATAAAAATGTAAATCTAAAAAGTCATTGTTCACCTCTCCTTCAAGGAAGTATCCCCTCCCAACTTCCTCAGAAATAAAACTGGGGGCAGTGCTGTCACTATTTCATAACCACAATAGTGTCACCAATACGTTTGATTCCTCTTGTTCTTCATTCACTAGTCCATGCTGTCACCAAAGCCCCTTGATTCTTCCTTCAAAGCAGTCACCTTTATGACTTACTCTTCCTCCCAATTTCCACTTTTCAATGGAGACCCCTGTTACCTCAAACCTCTGTACCACCACAGCCTTCTAGGTAACACACCACCCCCACCACTCTTGAAACCTCTACTGCAGAAATGCCACCTCAAAACAGAGATGTAAGCGGTGACTTGTTGAAACACGGTTCCCATGGGCTCAATCTACCTTGAGCCCGGCATTCAGAACTCACTACCATCTTTCTCCAAACTATCTTCCAACTCTAACCCTCAGGGCTTCTCAGTCAATTTCCATGAATCGGCCGCTCCTGCACTACATGTCACATTAGCTTCAGCTCCAAGAAACACAACATTGCAAAAGGTTGCCTCAGTCAACGGAGGCATGGCATGGACAGGCATGTGTAGGAGATGTCCCTGCTTATGTGTATTGGGAATGCAGAGAGCAGGGCATAATCTCAGTTGCCACTCTTCTTTGCCTCGCAAAGAGGGCTGTCAATTATTACAATATCCGAAACATACACTGAAAAATAACTTGTTTACCAGAAACACAAATTCAACTAGCCTATTTTGTCACTTGGTCGTACTTATTTTGTTTTTTGTGTTTGTTAAATCTAGCAACCGCACTTCACAGACACTAAGGATCTCCATTATACAATATCTTCAACATCCTAACAAGGGATCAGAATGCCTGTGCCTCCAGGGGTCAAGTGAGCAGGGCAGTGTGTGCATAGGACCTGTGTAGGATAGTATATGTTGACTAACACTGGTCTCCAGTGCTGGGAAACACCCCAGAAAGCAGAGGAGACTGCTGCAAAGAGATGTGTGCTTCATCTAGATCAAGTAGCTTCTATGCACCTCCACCTATTATAGAAATACAGTAGAATATGGTAGAACTATCTTCCCACACACACCAAAATCCCAAGTGTGAGACTTTTCTACTTAAAAACTTTTGAAATTCAATATTGGCAACTAATTTAATAATAAAACATTGTACTGGCAACCTTGTGTGAATGGATAAGGAAAACAATAGGTATACTGATTGTGTAAGTCAGAATTTTGTCATTGTGACTAGATAAAATAACTTAAAGACAGAGATTTATTTGGGTTCATGGTCTCCAAGGTTTCAGTCCGTGATTGGCTGGTTCCATTGATCTGGCCTGAGGTGAGGCAGAAGATCATGGCAGAAGGACACGGCATGGGAAAGCTGCTTAGCTACAGCAGTCATGAAACAGAGAAAAAGAGAGGGGGCCAGGAAAAAAAAAGGCCTTTCTAGGGCACCCACACAGTGACCTACTTCCTCCAGTTAGCTCCCCCTTACCACTTTCTATCACCTCCCAGTAATATCAGATTATTAACCCATCAATGAATTAATCCATTGATGAGGTCAGAGCCCTCAGAATCCATCCATATCCCAAAATCCTACCTTGAAATATTGCTGGATTGTTTTTAACACATGAGCCTTTGGGGGACATTCCAGATCCAAAGCATAATACAGATCACTCCAATCAATAGGCCTATAGGCCATCTGCTGCTGCCTCAGCTTTGCAGCACTTCTGGAGGTCAGTCCGCAACTGCAGAAGGGTGTCCTTTGCCCCATTCACAGTCTACCATTCCAGTGATTCAGCTGCAATTCTGCTCTTGACCTACTGACTCTACTAGGTCATTGGCATGTCTCTGTATGGGTGCCTTTCACTCTGTATGGGTGCCTTTTACTCCAATCAACTAGAGCATTTACTCCAATCAACTGGAGCATTAGAGGTCCAGACCCTTACATATCTCTCACTCTGATCACTGTTTTGGTTTCTCTTTCCACCATCTTTGGTTTTGTCACAGAGTTCTCTTACACATTGTCTCTGTAGTCATGCCTTCCTCTCTCTTGTCAGCAGATTTAGATCTCAGCTCAAGTGCAACTTAGGGACTCCTTTCCTGGCATTTATGAAGAGGTAAAATGCCACCACTATAAGATCCTACAATGGCCTACATCCAAAGTTGGTACTCAAAACCTTTTCTGGTACTATGCAGACATAAATGAATCAGATCAGAGCCACCATCAGAATGGATGCTGGAATAGGATCCTGGAGGCTTCATGATGGGTGAGGAATTAACCATGCTACTATACAGGTGGGAGAAATAGACCTGGGGGCCCTGAACACAAGGTTTGAGGGACCCCAGACACAGGGGAGATGATACTCTGGAGTTCAAGGAAACAGCTTTACTATTATATGTTGAGAGCCACAGCCAAAGGGGCCCCAGCAAACTTCCAGCTGCCAGCAAACTTCCAGCTGCTGGCTGATGATTGGCTCACAGCGGCCCCAGCAACATCTAGCTGATTGGCTCCTCGGCCCCAGCAACATCTAGCTGATTGGCTCCTCTGCGGTGATGCTCATTGGACTGTTTCCCTGCCCTTTCAGACCACGGAGCTGCTCATTGGGGGACTTTTTTGGCTCCGCCCATGTGACCCAGCCAATCGGCCTCAAGAGCAGGAGGATTGTGGGAGGTGGAGAGAAGCTTGTGTGGGAGAGAGAGGCTTGGGGAAAGCCGGTGGTGGCAGTTGAGGCTCTGAGGGTTTTTCCTGAGAGACTATTTTGTTTGTCGTGTGTGGTTCTAAAAATAAAGTTAGTTTCTTTTGACAAGTGGCTCCTGATTGTGCCCAGCCAGACTGCGGCATTTGGTGGCCCATACGGGGAGCGACTGAGGGTAAGTGAAACTGCTCGCCCCTGAGGGCAGGGCGAGAGGATGGGTAGCCATTTTAAGATTCCTCTTTTATTTTGCTTCACTTTTGTTTTAAGTTGCCTGTCCCTGGAGATGAGTGAGAGGGAAGAAAAACCGCTCACATCTGAGGAAAAACTATTTACGTCTGAGGAACAGATAGGGAGAAAGGATGGATGCACATGTCAGGAGGATAGAAAGGCTATAATGACTTTCTGTTGTTCCCTTTTTATTTCATTCTGTCTCGGTTTTGTTTGGCGTCATCTTGTTGGGTTGTATTACAGTAGAAATACGGGATCAGAAATTAGTAAAAAACAAACTGAAAGAGTGTTAAGTAAATTGTTAGAGGAAGGAGGCATCCCAGTAAAATCAAGAGCAGTCAGGGCATACGTTGATACAATACAAAAATGTAGCCCATGGCTTTTTAAGGAGGAGTTGTTAAATATATCACAATGGAACCATCATGGTGAAGATTTAAAAAGAATAGAAAAGAAAAGCCCAGGGACTCTGCCAGTTGGCACATTGCCATTGTGGACATTCGTATCTTGTTTGCTTAGTCCAAAGCCTTCAGTTCAGACAATGGTAGAGGAAGGAGAAGACATAATGATTCAAGTAAAAGAGAAGGTCTCTCAAGTTAGTCAGACAGAGAAAGAAAGTGTAAAACAGAA